TAGAGAGATTTGATTCTTTGGAATATCTTTTTTCAAAAATACTCTTTGAGAAACATTTTTCATTACAAGAATGGGTTATTTTACCTTTGTGATAACCTTAAGGAAGCTTTCAAGAATTGAATTGATCATCAAATTCATGGAATGAAAGGATAAGTTACTTGATTGATTCACCTACTCAAATATGTTCTATACATAAGGTGAATTCATTCCTTAAACTTTTGTATTGATTATTTTCTTATAAGTAGGTTTCTTAAGAAGGGAGAATCTTGTAATGAGGTGCTACAAGTGAGTGTTTCTTGGGGTGCAAGAAGTGATTTTTTAATAGTATATAAGTGTATTGCATATGGTATTGTGACTGTAAAACTTTTGATATTAAAGATTAGTAAAAAAATCTCAATTGAGTTGATTGGAAACTAAATGTAGATTACAAGTGAATATGGTCAAACCAATATAAATTGGTTGTGCATTTCTCTCTTTCCCTATACTTGATCTTACATTCTTGCATTTTTATTTTTATGTTTGTTAATATTTGTTGTGAGGTACAAACATTGAATAAAGACTTGAGTGAATTTAGAATTGTATTGAATCTAAACTACATATTCTATATGCAACTATAGATCAATACACTTCTTTGAAAAGATTTAGAAAAAAAAAATTCAAAACCAAGATAGATGGGCAAGAAATTTTTAATCAACCAATTTACCTCCTCCCCTCTTGGGTTAGACCATCTTTTCTAATAGAACACTCACAAGAGAAGACTAAGAGGAGACCACCAAGGAAGACATATATTAACAGTTAAAGCTATAGGAGGAACATCGTTCTGCGAGAATCATCTCCCTATGTAGGGGGAAGTGAGATTTTTGACTCCTTGGACATATATGAGAAACAAGAATAGAAGGACGGTTCCTAAGTCCTAAAGGTTATATGTTTAGTCGTATTGTATGTATGACTACATTGGTGAAATTGTTAATGCTTTGTTTACAATTTAGTACGATAGGTTGATCAATTTATTTGAATGATGAATGGTATATTTGAAGGGTGAGTTTATACATATGTATTGGGGATTTTGGATTACATTGTATGGATCTTAATGATTGATTTTTTTTTGATGTGTATCAAAGTATGTATTAATTAATGGACCGATTGAATTGTAAATTTCATGAATACATGAGTTGTGGAGGAGAAAAATGCAAACTGCAAATATGCAATGCGCAAGTTCAACACCACGTTAGGCGTGAGAATGACCACATCGAGCGTGAGGTTTCGCATCCAATGTCATTTGACGTTGATTTTATGAGGAAGTTGACATCGAACGTAACTTAGACCATCTCAAGCAAGATTGAGACAAAAAAAAGTCGCAGACCTCACCACTTTGGGCACAAGTGATACCACGTCGGGTGTAAATACATTCTTGTTGGGCATCACTCCTTTTTCCATTTTGAGATGTTTTATTTTACTAATTAATTATTAAATGAGGAATCATGAAGAGGGATTTGATATTGTATACTAGTAGAAAGAAATAATTAATGAATAATAATATGAAAATTGATGAAGTCTGTTATGTTGATCATGTATGAATAATTATTTTGATATATTATTGAATGGTTATGATGGATTCTTTGATGATGTATATTGTGAGAATGTTGATGATGAAATATGATGAATTAGTGTTGTGAACAGACACTCGAGGAGTTAAGTATGCATATTGTGTTGTTGTATTAGGTGTATTGAGTTCATGCATTTACATTTTTTTTCATAGGATAGTGTAAGTATGTGTAGGTGGAATATCATAAGTCATCTACTTGTGTCCTGATGTTATGGTTGAAAACCTCTAATGGAAATGGGATGCTACCATAACTAGGTATAAGGATAGGAATAAATCAGGGACCTATAACGATCTCTTTTAAGTTTGGTCTATCCTACAACTTGTTTAATAAAAAGATTAGATTTAGACTTTTAAAAAAAAGACTATTTATATATAAAAAATTAAAAAAAAAAAAAAAAAGGTCAGATTTAGCTTACAAAACTTTTTGTTAGATTTGATAGGTTAATCTATTTATTTATATAATATAATAAAAATAATATATATATATATATATATATATATTATTAAAAA